CAAAAAGGACTTTCCTAACTTTTTAGTAACATTATCAAATTTGAAGGGCTGACATTTATTTTCACTTAATATTTTTCATTTGAATGAAGGTAGAAACATTTTTTGGGCCATAAAGTTTGCAAGACTTTTTTGGTGGGAAAATTTTTGTGTTCAGCAAAATCCACAACGATTCAAAATTCTTAAAATTCTACTGCTGCCCAGTTAAGCCATTTCACTAATGATTCACATACTGGGATTGTGTTCTGCATGCTTTGAGTGGAGTCAGCTAATGTTGCCAAGTACACCAGATTACGATGCAAAAGTTGCTGGTATCTGGAAACAAACAAAACAAAGAAACAAAAAAAATGATCAGATAATTTCATGCATCTAGAGGGAAAGTAAAACGAGTAACTCCTGAATGAAATGGGGCAGAGACCATGGCAAGTTGTCAGGAAAGCTTGATAAAATGATGGAGGTGGAGGGGGTAACCTTGGCATGGACTAGCATCCCATTCAGGGGGGTGTGGTAATAATTCTAGTCATTCTGTGCTTCAAATACTGGGATTAACTCATGCCAGATGAGTCACTCAGCTTGAGCACAGACTTAACATTTTTTTTAATGAACAAAATCCCTGTAAAGTGATACTACTTACTGTGTGCACTCATATGCTTTCCCTTTACTCTGATAATCAACAATAGCCTACAGAAGGGATAGACAATTTGTAATGGTGAATACTAACCAAAATGTTCTTGTATAGCAGTGTCATATTTATTGCAACAAACTGATGTATACACCAATAGCATATTTGATTGAACACCCCATCCCTTCCCAAGAATTAAAATAAATTACTTTCCTCAAATAAGTACTGTCTCCTCACTTAAAACATTAGACATTTTTTAACAGCACCATTTTAATTTTGCTGCTATTATAATTTGTTTAAAATTGGATCTGCCAGCTAACAGCAAATTGTTCAGAAGGCAGATCAGATTGCTTTCTTCCCATTCTTTTGGTTAATAACCTCACATACTTACAAAGCACTTGTACATGTATATGCAACAAGTCTTCTATGAATGTTTCTCTTATTTTTAAACCTTGACTAAATGCTGTAAAACTTCCATGGAGGACAAGATCATTATCAAGTTTTTATAGGCCAGCTACATTAACTTGGATTTTTAAGGCAAACTACATAACTCTAACTCTCCAAATAAACCCCTCTTCCCTTAATGATTAAGCCCTTCTCTTAAACTCAGATTCCATACATAAGCACCCCAGGCAATTAGTCATGAGCACCTTCCCATAACTGTAACGAAAGCCATGCAAAAGTAAACTGGTTTGCTGGGATATGAACTGAACTAAAACAGACACATGTATGTACACCTATTTACCTGAATAAGTTGTGAATTCTCATCTAGAAGCTGAAAGACAAAAATTATGGTGCATGAGATCAGACACTTATATTCAGGCTGATATTCACTCACAAAAGAGGCAATGGAGAGACTTGATTTAAACATTTCTGAAACAGGTTGTTCACAGCTGAGTGTTCATGACATAAGAGTGCAAAAAGACATATCTCAGAATATTAATAACCCTTGCATGACTGTAGACCACACGATGGGATGTATTACTTACCGTACCTTCTAGATACAACACAGGGTTTCGTAAACGTCCTTCAACTTTCACCGATCTACAGTATTGTCACAAGTTTTGTTTACACAAAGAGATCGTGTCACATATCTCCCATAATTGCACAGAATGAAGACGTTTATCATTTCTTTGAGACGAAGTAACCATTACGAGCTCCCTAAGCTATTCAGAAAATTGCTGAAAGCATCTTATTTTAATAGGGAAGATGTATAGTAATTAAAGTCGAATTTAAGTTTTAAGTAAAAAGTAATCTTGTTTAAAGAAAAACCTGATTTTTTAAAACATTGATATTGCAATGCAAGTGAAAGAGTAAATTAATTTTACAAAGACTAAATCCTTCGAGAAAAACATCTTCGATCAAAGGGAATGTACAGACAGGTGTAAACAACAATTGATGCTATCAATGAAAAATTATGACAGGCTTAAGCCTTGTAGTTTACGTTAATCCTGACTGTAATACTACAACAAGCTTAACAGCTCTTCTACCTACCGATTGAACTGTTTGTTGAGTAGGTTCTGAACGCTGTCGTCCAGACACAAATGTCATCGACATGCTGAAGTTCTGCCTTCTTCTGACAAATAGCAGCTAAGAAAGGAAGTTGCAATGGCCTTCTCGAAATTTGAAAGACACGTTGTGTAGGCCCAGTTCTCCATATCCATTATCGATATATATGTCATATAAAACTACATGAAATATCCTGAAGCAGGAAAGCACTGATTTGCAGTCATTGCCAGACCCCAAGCAAACCTCTCCCCGACTCGTCTCAAACCTTACCGCGGTCGGAAAAACGCCTGAAGACGCTTGGT